ATTAAATTCTGGACAATCTGTGCTGTTGGGTTCCCTTGCCAACGTTGTCATTTAATTTAAATGGCTCTCCCATCTCCCTGTTGTTTGCCTCTATGATATATTTATACACAGCAACTGGATCCCTTAACAGCCTTTATTTTGACAAGCTAAACAAGCCAAGCTCTTCATTCTGTCTCCTCATATGATAGGCTCTCCTTTCCCCTGACCATCCCAGAAGTCCATCTTTGTACCTGAACGAGTCTGAGGTAATGTGCTACAAATGACAAAGTACAACAGTCTTGTATAATAGCATAATAAAAGAAACCATGGCAAGCAGAGGAATAATTTCATGCTTGCAAAGATGTGCTGTGCCAAATGCTTAAGAGGTTGAGCAAAGATTTTGAAATCTTCTAAGGGGACCTTCATTAGAAATAATGTGGGTTTTTTCCCCAAAGTTGTTGATTAAAATTGCACTATGAAAAGTTTTAGGGTTTTAATCAAAAGCTGGGAAATCAATGAAAATTGTTATTTGGTTGAGACCTTCAGCCAACATAGTATGCAGCTGATTAGGTTTGTGACAGTAATCATTGAAGAAATGTATCTGGCATATTGAAAGTTTGTTTGACAATTATGACAGAAAATTTCTACAAACACTGTATGGTATGTAATGAACCTTCTCTGGAGAAGCCACAATTGCTTTCACACATTGCCCTTAAGAAATTTCAGGGACAGGGTTTTTGGGGCTGGTTCCCTGGAGTTAGCTCTGGAGAGTGCTCCTCTTGGTGTAAGCCAATAGAGAGCAAAAGAGAATGAGGGTACAACTGATCCCACCACCTCCCATGATCACAGAGAAAAGGATGTTTGGTCAAATCCAGTACCCCCTGGTCTCTTTTGCCATAGCTTTTTGGAAAACTTCAGGACACTCCTGACTGCCAACTGTTAAGATTGTGACAGCAATCTTTTTCTGGCTGTTTTACTTCTAGTCCTTATTGAGTTGATAGTTTAATCAAGTTTCAAGGGGAGCTTCAGACAAAAACTTTTTCCCAGTCATGCTGAGCCTGACATCCCAGTGCTTGGGGTCAGGATCACTGGAGAGTATGATGGCTCTCTTAATTGTGAAGGAGAGACATTAGGGGAGCATTTATTTTTCTACAATCCTTCTTTTTTCAGGAATAAACATGCTGATTTCCTTTTTATCTTTTCTCTGCCCTCTAGCATAAGGCAAAAGAGCTTTTGTAATACGCTGTAGGAAAAGGGAAGCACAAATTTAAGTTACTACGTGCGCATATGAAGATCAATGAAAATTAAAAGCTTTTAAAATACAAGCAATTTCTTAAGCAAGAGCAAAAGGAAATCCCAACTTTGATTACAAGCAGTTAAGTAGACAATTAAGGAAATACATGCCAAGGCACTGCATGGGTGGCTGCTTCCTGGGGATTGGGAGCAGGAGGAATCCTCATGGAGACTAGAGGGCTGAGGGCAGTCCCAGCCCTGAGCATCAGGCACTTCCCTGGAGATGAGATGAGCCTGGGATGGGCTGTGGGCCCAGCTTGGTGGGGTCCATGGGCACGGCATGGTTGTGTGGAGTTCAAGGTCAGCCCTGCTGTGGCAATCCTGTGACAGGGGCTGATGGCCCCAGGGGGGCTGACGTGTGGTCCTGGATCCTGAGGGCACTGATAATAAATTAAATGGAACTGTAACTCTAACAAACGTTTCTGATTATAACAGTCATAGTCAAATAGTTGATTTGATAGTGGAAGCTGTCCTGTGTTGTCTGCCCCCACGGTGGCCTGTGGGTCATGGGAAGTAGGTGCTCCTTCATGCATCCTGAACTGTTCTCCAGTGATGCTTGACAAAATCAGCTTCACTTTTTGTCCTATCCTGACTACCTGTGCACAGCCAGATCTTCAGAGTGCACAATCAGACTGTCTGCCCGGAAGGACTTGCCCTTTGTTTTACCATCCCCAGTGTGGCAGCTGGGGCTTGGAGCTGCAAGGGAGTGAAAAGCAGCTTGAAGAGCTCTTTGCTTTCCCTGGATATTCCTTCAAGGGTCCTGGGAACTGTGGCTTGTAGATCAATGGGAATATAGGGACTTTCACTGACCCCTTTAGTTAGGGTATCTTGGCAAATCTGCCAAAGAAAACTTTGGCTTTCCTTCTGCTAAGTTTGGTTTCCTGATCCATGGTGCCTTGGGGCAGAGGGGTCATGGGTATGGGAATGAGGAAAGATGAGAGGCTTTCTCCAAAACAAATCTAGAGAGAATCAATAGCTTCATATTACTGCACTGAGAGTAACAAAATTATTCTGTTTAGTGCATGGGATAAAACTCTCAACAACTGGCATGGAAAAAACAGCCCAAGAGGCATCTTGCTGTGCAAAGGGCTGTGATGTTGTTACCTAACCTAACCGCTGTTAGGTTAAGTTGCTAGTATGGCAAAGTCTGCAACCAAAGCTGCTTCTTTCATTAGCTTAACATGTGGTTAGGAGCACTTTGGTGCACCTGTGTGATGTCTGTGAGTGAAATAACATTTTTATTCAACTCAGCAGCAAAATCCCATGGGCTTTTCTGAACAACACAATATTGTATGATGGAGAGTATTTTAATTAGTACAGTGATGTTCATCCTGATTGTTTCTATCGCTCACCATATTTACTGTGGCATCACTTCATTAAAATGCAGAAGACATGTATAGGGATAAATATTATCTCGAGATATTTTAAAGTTTAATGAAGGAAAAGCTCTTCCACAGAGTGTAAAGCATCTACATTATCCTGCTGCTTGGTAAAACATCAGAGGACTGAAATTATTCAAGTCCTATCTGTGTTCCAGGATGTCTCTTCTTGGGAGGATTTAAATATAGTTGCTACACCTGTAAAATGACTCTAAAATAATACATAGTGGAGAGAAAATACCTTTAAGGATCTATTTTTAAACCATGTCTCCTGTGAACAAAGTTTGTGAAAATCATGAATAACACCACTTTTTTGCACTCAAACCATCAGATTTTAATCTCATTTAAACTGATGAAAATCCAGAGTAGCATCTATAAACTCTGAAGAGTGCTGGTTGACAGAAAACTCTTCTTTGTTTCTTATACTGTGTGAATTGCTCTAAAAATTCAGCTCTTCATTGCAACAGCATGCCTAATTTTCTTTTATTAGGTCTAGATAGTTGCATATTGTCTTTTGAAAACAGTAGTCTTGATCCTTCCTCCATTCAAATTAATAAGAAAACTTTACTGAATTTTTTTAAAGACCAAACATTTTGTAGGGCAAAGAATTAATTTCTGTAAATCCCAGGTACCTCGTACAAATATCTCTAAGTTGCTTCTTGTAAATTGTCATGCCAGATATGATTCAGAGTTTGTGAGTGTAACAGTGTGCTAACCTGATTCTCACACACGTAGGAAATGCTTTCTGCTATTCATAAATAAATAAATAGATGGATAATTGCTCAATTTTCTTCAAGAACTAGCTGCTCAAGACTGAAGTTCCCTAAATAAATTTTCTAGAAAATTAAAGTATTTATCAAAAAAATAACCTTCCTATAAAGCTAAGTTTTCCTTAATGTGTCCGCACCAATTTAACTGTGATTAAAGCTGGTCAAGACTTCATTACTGTTTCTATCCTTATGTTGTTCATAATGCAATAAATCTTGTTCTTTTAATTCAGAGCAAGGAAAAAAAATACACAAATACCAAGTAGGCATTTACTATTTTGCAAGACTTTGCATATAGTTTGTTAAGAAATAGTGGATGAATGTGTCATACGCTGTTCTGACTGGTATTAACTGACACCATAGTAGTCCTGCTTTACTCCTTAAATGGTAGTGTTCCTTGTGTTGCTTTATTATTATTAGGAGAACTATATAAACTATTTAAATAATGGTCAGTTGGTAGAGTTGAACAGAATTGTTACTGTTTCCTTTCAAAAGATCACAGCTTCCCAGAACATTGTGTTGTCCTTGCCAAGGAAAGACCTTCATGCCTTCATGGTCTCACCTCAGTCTCTGTGGCACCACCAGTCCTGCCACTGAGCCTGCCTGGACACGTTTCCATGCCAGCTGTCTCTGCAATGCACTTGACCTACAAAACTTTGTTTATACCCCAACCATACTGCTCTGTCACGAAGGTCAGGGCAGAGCTCCAGGGATCCACAATGTGGAATCAAATTCTGTTCATTTATGCAAACTAATCAAATGCATCAACGAGCTTTTATCAACATGAGAATCTGCCTCCTTCCAGTGTTATGGCTCCGTTCCCCATATGCCCTGCAACATCCCCAGCTTTCCAGGAGCAAAGCTCCTAATTCCCTGCATGTCTGCCATACCTCCATGGGATTTGGAGTTGTCACCATGTGCCCAGCCTTCCCCTGCATTGTGGGCTGTGACAGAAACTGGCCTGTAGCTCTTGCTGCGCTGCGGGTTTTCCAGTTTGCTCAGCCAAGGGATTCTCACATTCCCCCTGAGCAGGTAGAACTCTACAGACTGCCTGCTGGGTCACTGATACATGGGCCAAGCTGGACACATTTCTTCTCTGCTGTCATTTTGCCATGTCATTGCACTGCATTGCACATATTCTGCAGAACTGATCTCAACGAGGAACCCATCACATTACGTACCAGCTTTTTGCTCCCTCATTATGGCTCCTTTTCCTGGGATGCAGGTGGTTACTTGGTGTTGATTGCTAGATTTAAGCACAAAGCTGAGACTTGTGGTACCAGCTCTTTGGAGGCAATGGGAGTGCAAGGTTTTACCACCTGGTTGGTATCATACCACGCAAACATATTGCCTAGCGTGCTCTGGATTCTTCAGGTCACTCTGCTGTGTCATGGCTTTGGAAACACATGGATAAAATCAATGGGAGTTTCTAAATTAAAAACTGTAAGTATTTTCAAGTCACTTTAAGTCTGGAAGTCTGCGTTTTCTAGCTGACCTGTTGTCTGGCTGGCAGAGCAAGCAGAATACGCTGCTTCTCTCTTTGTTCCTGGCATGCAGCCCCTGAGCCTTATCTTTTCTCTAGGGAGCAGCAGGGACCCCAGTCAGCCTCAGGTGGGAGCAGCAGAGCGATGGCACAGGGACACCTCTACCCTCGACTCTCTCCTCCCCCCTCCGGACCTAGATTCTAGTGAAGCCCCTGCCCTGGGAGCGTCCCTCCACACAGGTATTACTGCACACCACGAGCTGTTCTGCTGACACACAGGAGCTTCCAGGAGCCAGGCTCCTGACTAACTAACATTCAGGAGATGCTGTTGCAGTAGCATGGCTGGAAAGCAACGCTTGAGCTTCCTGCAGATGTCAGCTCCAGGAGGGGATCAAAATGACTTACGTCATCTCTTGTCTTTCAAAGGCTCATCTGAACTGCAGAGCTGTCAAAGCCCTCGGGGACTGTTGAGGATTCCCAAGGACATCCTCAGTGCCCATTATTTTCACTGAAGTTTTTTAGCACGATGAGTTAAAAATAAACATCCTGAGCTAACAACTTAGTGTAACAAGGAACTCTTCAGCAGGCACTGTGGGCTTCTATGACCATACTGGGTGTCTCACAATATTCATATTAGATTTTGCCTGTCTTCTAAAAGCCCCATTGCTAATATCACATTGGTTATACTTTATTTCCAGTATGTGGAATGCCTCACAGTGCTGGAACATATTTTGAAATTGCATACCCAGCTCAAAAACTGGAAGGCAAACGCTCACTGATTTTAGAAAAATGTCACAACTTTAAACCCAATATTTTAAAGTGTCTGACTCATTTGGAAAGCTCAGGATTGTCTGTATTAATTATGGCTCCAGAAGATCTATCTCAACAGTCAGAAAGCAACTCCATTTGTAGTCAAGGATTGCAAACACAGTCTTCCTGGAACTGAAAGTTGTACATTGTGCAATTTTTATGGCTTGTATAGCTTTTCTATTTTTAGTTGGTTGAAACCTGCAATACATCATATAATCCTCCTTAAATTGTCATTCATAATGCTAATTGCCATTAACTTGGCGTAAGTTATTTGCTTACTTAAATTTGTATAGTTAGTGTTTCACCTAACAATATTACACAGACAAAACTGTATTTTTCTCTGATACAAAGTTAATGTGAGTACAAACTACTCATGGTGTTTTTCTACTTATGGACCTTTAAAAAAAAATTAAAATCCCCATAGTTTTTTCTTTTTTTGTTTTAAAAATATGCACGTGCTATGAAGTCCAATAACTGTTCCATTGCTTCAGCAAACCATTTATTTAATATTTACCTTTATAGATGTTTGGAAAATTTCTCTGAGGTTTGAGAAAATCTAATGAAATTGTACTTTTCAGCTTTTTTTGAAGATAGAATGAGAAGAACAATTCTGGGTTTTTCCTTTCTAGAAATGCATCTTCAAGGCATAAGAGATCAGTCAGTAACAAGTGTTTGCATAGAACTCTCCAGCCTTGTTCTTGCTTACTTAAACAGAGATAATGTCATGTATTTGGCTACCTGCAGAAATGGTTTGCACAACATTGCGTCATTCCCTGGCTGAGCAGAGGCCAGGGGAGCTAAGCCTGCTGCTGGCACACCAGTTTATGACTTTTGTACTATAATACTAAGTGTTGTTGACAACATTCTTATTTTCTAGGCTTTCCTATTCCTTTAAGTATAATCCTTTGTGTTTGACACATAGGCTTATTTTGACAAGTCCGAGGTTTGTCGATTCCTTGGTGCTTGCTGCTTCCACAGGGTGAATTCTAGTGCCTGGAAGTCCAGTGCTACAGCCAAGCCATCCTACAACAATGGCATGTGCTTCCAAACATTATTCCATGCAAGATTTTGTTTTGTTGTTTCTTGATGGCAAAAATTAATAACAGCATCAGTAAGTACAACTGGAATAAAGTGTTGGTTTTTTGTGGGTTTTTTTTGCAAATATTACAGCTACCTTAGGTTGAGCATGTGGCATTCTCCCAGCTGTAGAGTTTCTCTAAACATGGCCAATTCATAGCAGGGAGGTTTTGCAGTCCTAGAATTGACTCACAAACTGTTGGCTGATTTTTTTTAATTTTTATATATGTAGGTTTTTTTGGCATGCAGTCAATGATGTTGTGCAGGATGAATTGGAAAGATTTAGTAGAATACCAGATTTGATTAAATGAGTTACACAACTTCTTATGGAGGCATAGGGTGTATATATTGCTCAAATTACATTCTTAATTAATAAAAGTAAGGAAATATTTATCCAGCATGGGGACTTTGTTGTGACTTTACTGAAAGCCTTGGGAAGTATTCTCAGTATTTCAGTGGAGGCTCAGCCATTTAGTTTGGGCTTGCTTTTTCAGGACACTTTCACCTGAGTTAGAAACCTGAGTGAGGTTTATTCTCACCAGGAGTGAGCCACTAAGTGAAATGTGAAATGAACACACGAGAATACTCTCTGTTACATCTCATTTCTTAAGATAACTGTATATACACATGCATATATATACATAGATATATATGTAACGAGGTGAATTTGCATCCTCATAGGAGGAAAACTGGCTAGTCTTCCTTTTCCCAAACCACAGCTTGGTCCAGCTTGGTGCCAGTGGAGCCAAGATGTGACAGAACTGCCAGCAGCAACCACACCAGGTCCTTGCCAAGGCCTGAGTCCACCACACATGCACAGGAGAAGCAGCCCAAAGCAATTTCTCAGTCACCTAAACTTCCTTGAAGGCAGATGAAAAATATTTAAGGAAATAAATAAGGAATGCGGAGACATTACATAACAGCTGAGTCAGACTGTTTTTAACTAAATAAAGAAAAACAGTAATGTCTTTATGTTGCTTTCTTACCTGCTTTCTTAACTGATTTACCAGTCATATACAGTCTCTATCTTTTAAATTTGTATTCCAAGACACAATCATAGAATCATAGAATCAGATTGGTTGGAAAGGACCTCTGAGATCATCAAGTCCAACCCTTGATCCACTACCACCACAGTTACTAGACCATGGTACTAAGTGCCACATCCAGTCTCTTCTTAAACACCTCCAGGGACAGAGAATCCACCGCCTCCCTGGGCAGCCCATTCCAATGCCTGGTTACCCTCTCTGTAAAGAATTTCTTCCTAACATCTAACCTAAACCTCCCCTGGCAGAGCTTGAGACCATGCCCTCTTGTCTTAAATGCCTTAATATTTAGAGACATCCACCAATTCCCTTCAGCAACATTGTCATACACCTCCACGTACAAAATAGGAACTTGAAAATTTTATGATTAATTTTTTTCAGATTTACCTTAATTATTAAAAATTATTCTCTAGTTTCACTTGCTCCAACTAAAAGAATGCTAGCATAGATCCATTTCTTACTGCCATTTCTTAAATTATTTGTTTTGTACAATTATGACCAGATTCCCCCCACTCTTTGCTCCAAGAAACAGAGTTCGGGATGAGGAATTGTGACTGGAGAGTCAAAGGAGCTCATTTCCCAGTTAGGGAGCTCAGTGAGGGTGAGTTTTTTGACTGTTCAGTACTTTTTAGAAATACTGGGTTCTCTGCCCCTCTCAGCCAGAAATGTGCCTGCAAGCAGAGGTCTGTGTGCTGATGCTTTGAAGAAAATCCATCCCAAGCCATTTGAGTTCGTGACTTCACTAACACAAAGTTGGCAGGGTGGGTTATAGCAGGGACTGTGAGGGGTGGACACAGTCCCACATCCTCTGTCATGTCCTAACATTTGCCATCAAGTGTTTCACTGTGGCAGATGCTGATAACGAGGTGCTAAATACCTGCTATTGCCTCCCATTTCTGGATCCATTTCTGGATCCAGGCCAGTTTATCAGTCAGCTCACTGATGTGCCCATATTAAGGGCACCACCTCTCTAGAGAGGGCAGTTAATGCAGTGGTGTCCTCTCCCTCCAGGGAGGCTGGAGCAACACCACCCTGTACCCAGCATCTTTTTCTATGGAAAGAAAATCAGCGGATGATTTCCCTGATAGACAGGAGCCATGGTGAGCTTTAGCAGTGGTCACTGGAGCTGCATAACCGAGGATGAGGACAGGCCTGAAGCCTTAACTTAGCCCCAGAGAGCTCAGGCTCCATTTCAAAGACACTGCAGATTATAGGTGAAACCTAAACTCCTTAGTCACACAAGTGAAATACTTAAAGCTGAACAGTGTGAATTTATGCCAGTGCAGATGATTTTAACTTCATGTAGGCTTATAAAACACCCACTCGACTTGTAGGAGCTCTTTTTAACATCTTTCCATGACTCTGGACTAAAATTGCTTTCTAAGAAAAGCAGCTAAGGAAGTTTTATTCTATCCTAGTGGAAAAAAAAGAAACTTCAGCCCTTTCTTTAAAGTTAAGAAAGGTAGGGTATTTGTCTTGTTGCAACAAGACAAACACAATTCACTTAGAATTTATCCCTGTTGACATTGGATTTTAAGAAGTGACAGACATTAAAGAAACTTGATTCTGGCAGCAGGACATTTTAATAATGTTAATGAAAGACCAAGGTCATGCAGAGATATTTATTTGCTTCTTCCTTCTCTCTTCCTTTCATCCTCAAAGTAACTATGCTGTATTTTCAGTTTAGCCTGAATTTTTGCTCTGAATTAAAAAAAGAGGTGAAGATTTGAGCAGATTAACAGTGACAGGCTGTTCAAAAAAAGATCAAAACCAGCTCAACCTGTACCTGCAGGATAACTCTTTAACTTCATTCTTTTCAAGTGAAGAAATTGCTGTCCAGGGATTTTGAAACCGTGACATTAGATGAGGCATGTAAATATAGTTTGTATAAATGAAAGCTATTAAAGTGGCTGAGACCATTTTCAATGCCCAGGTGAGGTATCTGCAGGTTTTTGTGCTGCTCCCTGTCAGCATGAAGGCAATGGTATTATTTAAATCAGCTAGGCTGACATTTATTTCTTTACTTTCTTTGCCACAAGTTCTGAAGTCAGTGGAAAGCCTGCAGGATTATTGGGAAATAATGACAGTCACTGGTCTGGCACTGCCAGGAATGAAGTAAGACTCTCCTTTTACCTCTTTGCAAATAGTAATGACAAGTGAAGGCCAGAGCTTTGAATAATGCAAGGACCACTCTGGAGCTTCACAGTGCTAGTCTTCTTATCAGTGACATGAAGCAGAAGAGCTCAAAGTCTGTGCCACCAAGCCCAGCAAAGCCAGGATAAGACTGGTGTGAAGTAGGGATGTTGTGCA